ACGATTATCTAAAGATTATCTAAAGATATCTAAAGGCTATCTAAAGATATCTAAAGCTTATCTAAAGGTTATCTAAATATCTAAAGATAAAAGATATTCATTAAACAAACCGATTTCCAGCGGCATCTCCACCGATAGAGTAAATATTGAAGAGAATTTCAATGAAAATAATAAAATTCGATAAAACATTGAAATTTTAATGGAAATTTTGATCGATATTGTTGAAAATTCAAGCTTTACACGACTTTTCGCATCTTTTCGCAGCACCATCCATTGGCCGCTAATTGGATAATTTGTAGGCAAATGGGCTAAATCCTTTTGATTTTATCCTTTTCTGTTATCCAGGCTTTTGGACACATCTCTAGATGAATACAGTAATCTTTAGCGAACTCGTAGTCCAATAAACTCGTGACTCGTAGTCCAATAAACTCGTGACTCGTAGTCCAATAAACTCGTCACTCGTAGTCCAATAAAGATTGCCAGTACCGAGAGGGTTTTGTTCTAAATTCCGATGATTACTAGTTACTACTGTAGCCTCCTTGTACTGAGTAGGCCTGGGAATTTTCGGTGTTCAACGTCAATAGGTGTCCAATGGAAAAATGGCATATCTCGGTCAATTTCCCTCTGATCTTTTTAATTTTGATATCAATTGACGCAGAATTGAATTTTCTATCGATTGAAATCAAAGACAAAAATATCGGAGTGAAATTGGCTGAGATACAGTACCGAACATAATTTAGAATCAATGACAGCCTGGCACCGAGCGCTCATCGAGGCGATCAAGTTGTCGATGGTTGCTGTTGTTTGAATTTCCATCCATTTCTTAGCTAAAAGCTCGAATTTTTCATTAAGATTATGGCTCTTAACGCCTGACAGGCTCTTTTTAGAACTTCCTACATATGTTCAATATGGTATAAATCAGAACTCTGGCTTGGTCATTTCATAAAATAATTCCTTCCTTCTGAAACCAGTCCTTTACAAGCCGTCCTTTACAAGCCGCGAAGTATGTTTGTCCTGTTGAAATAGAAAGTTGAAAGGCATCAACTGGAGGCCACTTGGAAGCTTATGTTTTGATAAAATGTCCAAGCAAGCATAGTTTGTCTATAATTCCATCAATGCGTTTTAATGGGATCATTCCGTAGGCTGAAAAGCCGCTCCATACAAGAACACTACCACCGCCATACACTACCACCGCCATCAATGCGTTTTAATGGGAGCGCTCATCGAAGCGACCAAGAACAATTGCCGATCGATATATGTGTCGTAGCCGATTATGAATGAAATTTTTTGGCAAATCTTTCTAGTAGAGCAACCCTTTAATGTATGAGGACAGTATTATATCATCTCATATGTCTCTACATGTATTTACACGCTTGGACTGAGGTTTTGTTGCATTTTCTCAGCTTTAACCTTAACACCTTGGTTTAGCTATTTAAACATGATCTACCTGAAAAAGAAAGTCTCTTCAAGAAGTGAACAAGAAACGTACAACTCATCTTCTCTCGTTAAAAGTACAATGCTCATCAAGACAAAGGGCTCTATCTCGACACCAAGATTCTGATTTCATTTGTAGTTTCTCAAAAAAGTTTCTTTCAATTCAGTTTATATAAGAAAACACATAAACCAAGAATAACACTCAAAGGGAAATTTCTGTTTTTCAGCCACAAAAGGCTGCTCCATTTGCGCAGTAACCACCATTCGGATAGCCGTTTGTCGAACAGCAGCTGGTGACGCCGTTCTGAAAATGAACATTTTTGAAATGAGATGCGGAAATAGTGACAATGAGACTCATTTTTTGAAAGCAACCTCGATCCCACTCTTTTACCCACTCTTTTTATACTCAACCTTCGATACATTCATATTCAAATTCCCCAAAACTCACCGGACAAGAAGGATTACATTTTGCCAAAGCATCAGCGCTGATCACGGAAACGCCGGCTGGAATTGTTATATTAGAGTGAATGACAATTATTAGAGTGAATGACAAATCTGGAACTTGTTAAGCAGTAACATTTGAAACCTTGGTATCTGGTGCTCAAACATGGTATCACAAACACTTTTACTCTTCTATAACATATTTCTACACTGTCAGTATCCCGATAGACCTTTAGTAGAGTTTCTTGTCGATTGTCAATTGTAGAGTCAATTGTTTTTAGAAATTTAGCGATAAAACTGTCGATACAATTTCTATTTCTTCTAATATAAGTTCACTACGCATTTTTGGTTATAGAGGGGTGTCTTGCCTGAATACTTTATCCCTGATGTTACTGTATTTGCAATTGAACTCACTGAGAATAAGGAGAACAACGAAAAAGAACGAGACGATACGCATTCTTCAGAAGTTTTGTTGAATACGTATTTTTGAAGGGGTATTAGATGAGAATTCTATCAAAATTTGCCGCATTTATAGAAGCTTGCTTTTATATCAATCGGTTTATCTGAAAGCGATTCACATGATGTGAGGTCATTTTGAGCCTCGATAGCGTTTGCTTGGTTTATGGGTTTTCCCCGATTTTCCCGATTCTCCTTTTGAATCTTTTCAATTTATGAATAACAAACCCATTTGCATTTTTGTTAACATTATTTTTATGTTATGTGATGGCCATCACGAGAATTTTCCAATATTTTTGGTTTGTTTGTTTTCATCGCCTGATCCTCGTAGTGTCATTTTATCGAACAAAAAGAGCTCAAGAAGAAACGATGGTAAAGCTAAAATTGTAGAGAAAGCTTTGTGACAAGAGATTTTAAAAAAATTTTACACAATTAGCTTATGCAAGTTTTTATATGGCATCAAAATACCCAAAAGTTTTATGAAAGGTGGACTGGTTGAAGGAGTTGATCAGAGCTTTGAATTTCTCCAATGGCTCGCTAAACAATCGGATCGTTTGCGTTTGCGTTTGTCGTTTGTCGTTTGCGAAATATAAAAGACCATAAGTTTCGTTAAAATAATTTTTATTCAACGAAGTAATCACCATTCGAAAGAACAACCTTTTGCCAACGTTCTACAAGTAAAGACATTCCACGATAATAAAAATCTTGGTCCTTAGAGGCGGAGAAAAGATCAACCTCGGCATCTTCTTCGGAATTGACATCTTCTTCGGAATTGAACCGTTTATTGGCCAAAAAGTTAGACAGACAAAAATAAATAATAATCAGATGGAGAAAGGTCTGGACTATAAGGTGGATGTGGTAAAACCTCCTATCCAACACTCTGGATTTTTTGTCGAGTCTGTAAAGAGACATGTGTTCGCGCGTTATCGTTCATGCGGTATCCATTTGTCCAACATTTTGATAAAATTCATGGCATTCAAGCGTTTCCTTACGGTTGACCCATCACAATTTAATGTAAGGCCTATTTCTGAACAGGTTGAACGAGGGTTTTCGAGAAGACAGCGTCTTATTTGGTCATCAGATAAAAATAAAAAACGTGGATTACTTTTTCACACACCTAATATTAAAGAGCGACTTCTATTAAAGAGCGACTTCTATTAAAGAGCGACTTCTATTAAAGAGCGACTTCTATTAAAAAGCGTCTCCTATTAAAGAGCGTCTTCTATTAAACAGCGACTTCTATTAAAGAGCGTCTCCTATTAAAATTAAGTATCTAAAATTTTTGGGAAATTCAAAGCTCTGATCAACTCCTTCAACCAGTCCACCTTTCATAAAACTTTTGGGTATTTTGATGCCATATAAAAACTTGCATAAGCTAATTGTGTAAAATTTTTTTAAAATCTCTTGTCACAAAGCTTTCTCTACAATTTTAGCTTTACCATCGTTTCTTCTTGAGCTCTTTTTGTTCGATAAAATGACACTACGAGGATCAGGCGATGAAAACAAACAAACCAAAAATATTGGAAAATTCTCGTGATGGCCATCACATAACATAAAAATAATGTTAACAAAAATGCAAATGGGTTTGTTATTCATAAATTGAAAAGATTCAAAAGGAGAATCGGGAAAATCGGGGAAAACCCATAAACCGAGCAAACGCTATCGAGGCTCAAAATGACCTCACATCATGTGAATCGCTTTCAGATAAACCGATTGATATAAAATGAAGCTTCTATAAATGCGGCAAATTTTGATAGAATTCTCATCTAATACCCTTTCAAAAATACGTATTCAACAAAACTTCTGAAGAATGCGTATCGTCTCGTTCTTTTTCGTTGTTCTCCTTATTCTCAGTGAGTTCAATTGCAAATACAGTAACATCAGGGATAAAGTATTCAGGCAAGACACCCCTCTATAACCAAAAATGCGTAGTGAACTTATATTAGAAGAAATAGAAATTGTATCGACAGTTTTATCGCAAAATTTCTAAAAACAATTGACTCTACAATTGACAATCGACAAGAAACTCTACTCAAGTTCTATCGGGATACTGACAATGTAGAAATATGTTATAGAAGAGTAAAAGTGTTTGTGATACCATGTTTGAGCACCAGATACCAAGGTTTCAAATGTTACTGCTTAACAAGTTCCAGATTTGTCATTCACTCTAATAATTGTCATTCACTCTAATATAACAATTCCAGCCGGCGTTTCCGTGATCAGCGCTGATGCTTTGGCAAAATGTAATCCTTCTTGTCCGGTGAGTTTTGGGGAATTTGAATATGAATGTATCGAAGGTTGAGTATAAAAAGAGTGGGTAAAAGAGTGGGATCAAGGTTGCTTTCAAAAAATGAGTCTCATTGTCACTATTTCCGCATCTCATTTCAAAAATGTTCATTTTCAGAACGGCGTCACCAGCTGCTGTTCGACAAACGGCTATCCGAATGGTGGTTACTGCGCAAATGGAGCAGCCTTTTGTGGCTGAAAAACAGAAATTTCCCTTTGAGTGTTATTCTTGGTTTATGTGTTTTCTTATATAAACTGAATTGAAAGAAACTTTTTTGAGAAACTACAAATGAAATCAGAATCTTGGTGTCGAGATAGAGCCCTTTGTCTTGATGAGCATTGTACTTTTAACGAGAGAAGATGAGTTGTACGTTTCTTGTTCACTTCTTGAAGAGACTTTCTTTTTCAGGTAGATCATGTTTAAATAGCTAAACCAAGGTGTTAAGGTTAAAGCTGAGAGAATGCAACAAAACCTCAGTCCAAGCGTGTAAATACATGTAGAGACATATGAGTTCATCTGCAATGCCACATTCCATAAGAAGTAACCAAAGAATGGATACTGTACAATGGTGATCAGACTTGAGATGAAAAAATTCATAAAGTAGTATGTTGAGCTACCGATCATCTGTAAAGCGTTTTGTGAGTCGCTTTTGTATTTTCAGGAGATCCAATTGAATGAGTCAAGACTAATAGACTGGTTGCCAGACTAATAGATCAAATTGCTTGCCATGATTGCCAAACAAAAGGCAATTTAGAGCGGAACCATCTTGCTACTCTATCTTCAAGTAACAAATTGATCATTAAATGTCCTAAACCTGAACCAACCTGAACCATTAAACGTCTCTCCGCCGTCGTAACTTTGGAATGATTCCGCTAAGTCTCACATTTTTTGAGAATCACTACTTCAACCTACTTTTCGAAGCTTTGAAAGAGTGAAAAGATCCATTGTAAACATGAAATATGCCAGAGTTGGCAACACATCTTGATTCACAAATGCACCATTTGAAAACGCTGATACGCAGAAAAGAGAAATCGCTATCGAATAGGAAATGAGAAACTGGAGGACGGCGTGTTTTGTTGTATACCTGAAGAGCATTCCATCGAAAGAAACGGCCATGAAACGACTAAAAACATTTTTCGAAAGTAATGCACGCTTTTTTGAAACCTGAATGAGACGAACGCTTGACAAAATGCGTTCACGACTAACAAATTCCGACCATTGTTGAGAATAAAAGCGGCGATGCCATCATTTGAACATCTGCAATTGTAATTTCTTTATCCTTGTCTGTCTAAGTTTGGTTCCTTTCCTCTCTAAATTCTTTCCTTTAGAGAATTCGGAATGCGTTTGGCGAAAACGCCGTTACTGATGATACCGCTAGGTTTTGGTTCCAACGATTCAAAGGTGGTAATGAAAGCCTAGACGATGAACGACGTGGCGGTCGTCCTGAGACCTGTTCGGATAACCAAATAAGACGCTGTCTTCTCGAAAACCCTCGTTCAACCTCTTCAGAAATAGAAAAACTGTATTGGAACCGTAATGGATCAAAAAAAGAACCGTATTGGAACCGTATTGGAACCATATTGGAACCGTATTGGATCTAAAAAGAACCGTATTGGAACCATATTGGAACCGTATTGGATCTAAAAAGAACCGTATTGGAAGCATATTGGAACCATATTGGATCTAAAAGGAACCGTATTGGAAGCATATTGGATCTAAAAAGAACCGTATTGGAAGCATATTGGAACCATATTGGATCTAAAAGAAACCGTATTGGAACCATATTGGAACCGTATTGGATCTAAAAAGAACCGTATTGGAAGCATATTGGAACCATATTGGATCTAAAAGGAACCGTATTGGAAGCATATTGGATCTAAAAGGAACCGTATTGGAAGCATATTGGATCTAAAAGGAACCGTATTGGAAGCATATTGGATCTAAAAGGAACCGTATTGGAAGCATATTGGATCTAAAAAGAACCGTATTGGAAGCATATTGGAACCATATTGGATCTAAAAGAAACCGTATTGGAACCATATTGGAACCGTATTGGATCTAAAAAGAACCGTATTGGAAGCATATTGGAACCATATTGGATCTAAAAGGAACCGTATTGGAAGCATATTGGATCTAAAAGGAACCGTATTGGAAGCATATTGGATCTAAAAGGAACCGTATTGGAAGCATATTGGATCTAAAAGGAACCGTATTGGAAGCATATTGGATCTAAAAAGAACCGTATTGGAAGCATATTGGATCTAAAAGGAACCGTATTGGAAGCATATTGGATCTAAAAAGAACCGTATTGGAAGCATATTGGAACCATATTGGATCTAAAAGGAACCGTATTGGAAGCATATTGGATCTAAAAGGAACCGTATTGGAAGCATATTGGATCTAAAAGGAACCGTATTGGAAGCATATTGGATCTAAAAGGAACCGTATTGGAAGCATATTGGATCTAAAAAGAACCGTATTGGAAGCATATTGGAACCATATTGGATCTAAAAGAAACCGTATTGGAACCATATTGGAACCGTATTGGATCTAAAAGAACCGTATTGGAAGCATATTGGAACCATATTGGATCTAAAAGGAACCGTATTGGAAGCATATTGGATCTAAAAGGAACCGTATTGGAAGCATATTGGATCTAAAAGGAACCGTATTGGAAGCATATTGGATCTAAAAGGAACCGTATTGGAAGCATATTGGATCTAAAAAGAACCGTATTGGAAGCATATTGGATCTAAAAGGAACCGTATTGGAAGCATATTGGATCTAAAAAGAACCGTATTGGAAGCATATTGGAACCATATTGGATCTAAAAGAAACCGTATTGGAACCATATTGGAACCGTATTGGATCTAAAAAGAACCGTATTGGAAGCATATTGGAACCATATTGGATCTAAAAGGAACCGTATTGGAAGCATATTGGATCTAAAAGGAACCGTATTGGAAGCATATTGGATCTAAAAAGAACCGTATTGGAAGCATATTGGAACCATATTGGATCTAAAAGGAACCGTATTGGAAGCATATTGGATCTAAAAGGAACCGTATTGGAAGCATATTGGATCTAAAAGGAACCGTATTGGAAGCATATTGGATCTAAAAAGAACCGTATTGGAAGCATATTGGATCTAAAAGGAACCGTATTGGAAGCATATTGGATCTAAAAAAGAACCGTATTGGAAGCATATTGGAACCATATTGGATCTAAAAGGAACCGTATTGGAAGCATATTGGATCTAAAAGGAACCGTATTGGAAGCATATTGGATCTAAAAAGAACCGTATTGGAAGCATATTGGAACCATATTGGATCTAAAAGGAACCGTATTGGAAGCATATTGGATCTAAAAGGAACCGTATTGGAAGCATATTGGATCTAAAAGGAACCGTATTGGAAGCATATTGGATCTAAAAAGAACCGTATTGGAAGCATATTGGATCTAAAAGGAACCGTATTGGAAGCATATTGGATCTAAAAAGAACCGTATTGGAAGCATATTGGAACCATATTGGATCTAAAAGAAACCGTATTGGAACCATATTGGAACCGTATTGGATCTAAAAAGAACCGTATTGGAAGCATATTGGAACCATATTGGATCTAAAAGAAACCGTATTGGAACCATATTGGAACCGTATTGGATCTAAAAAGAACCGTATTGGAAGCATATTGGAACCATATTGGATCTAAAAGAAACCGTATTGGAACCATATTGGAACCGTATTGGATCTAAAAAGAACCGTATTGGAAGCATATTGGAACCATATTGGATCTAAAAGGAACCGTATTGGAACCATATTGGATCTAAAAAGAACCGTATTGGAAGCATATTGGAACCATATTGGATCTAAAAGAAACCGTATTGGAACCATATTGGAACCGTATTGGATCTAAAAAGAACCGTATTGGAAGCATATTGGAACCATATTGGATCTAAAAGGAACCGTATTGGAACCGTCTAAATTCTTTCCTTATCTCTCTAAATTCTTTCCTTATCTCTAAATTCTTTCCTTCTCGTTAGAAGTAAATAATTCACTTGGCGCTATTTTATGGCTCAATATATAAAAATATAAATCTCAATATATAAAAATATAAATCTCAATATATAAAAAATATAATGCAAATTACTCAAAGCAAATCGGGGTGTATGCGATTTTTCATCTAAAGCTAACAAGTTCAACTTGTTAAACATCTAAAGCTAACAAGTGCAAGGCAAAATTTTCAGATTCTTGGGGAAATTGAAAAAGATTCTTTATGCTTTGTTCAAAAATCGGAAGCGTTTTTGATGGCTTTAGCCAGGTATCAGACAAAAGACACGTATTTCATCCGAAATGAAGGCCAATTCTCAGATATATTCTTTATAATAACAATAACAATAACAATAACAATAACAATAACAAGAACAATAACAATAACAATAACAATAACAATAACAATAAGACTAATGAGCAAAGATTTTAAGTATCATATACAAGTCTTCTAAGGTTTTTTACCCAGTGGCCAAAAAGCTCGTGCACAAGTAGTTTGCCATTTGAATTATCGTATAGACGAATCGTTGCACATTTTCGGCCGTTAGGACTAGCCTGAAAAGCTCTTTTTTGAACGATCCAATCAGGGCCTTTATATTGGGTTGATGGAAAACTGCATGGAAAACTAACGAAACGTGAAAACAGCGATTTTTTTGGCTCTGCCGCCCTTTACTAAAATAGCTGTAAAAACATTTAGAAAAGAGATATCTCAAAACGGTTTTGACCAATCGATCCGTCTTGAATTCAGCTTTAGGATGAGCTATCTAGATAGCTAGGTACACTCCCAAAAAAACGTCAAAATTCGACAAATTTAAGGTACTCTCCCAAAAAAACGGAAAGGACTTTTCCATCAACCCAATAATTAAACTTGAGACTTCACTAGACTTCAGTAAAGTTCTACAATACAGTAAAGTTATACACAGTAAACTTACCGAACGCTCAGGAATAGGTCATTATTTTTGGCCGAGTAATAAATCGCGAAGAGGTTTGGGAAAATGGCAACGAAAAGCACCTGCATGCAAATGAGTTTTACTCTTTTTTTGTAACAAAACTCGCCAGGGAACATCCTGATCCCAAAACAGCTTGAAATCGCGTAAATGTATCCAAGCTGACCTCAAGGAGTCCCGGTTGAGTTGGGTCTGAGCCGAAGCTGACGCTACGTCGAATCATTAGATCCAACTTGATTATTTGGCCAACTTTGCCGAGAGCTGGAATTAGAAGTGAAGCACTTTTTTTTTTGAATGCGTAAACGATCCAAAGTCGGCTCACTCACAAACATTTGATACTTTACAGTTATATCAAGCTCAGACTGGCACAATTCTATCTCACAATTCTATTCTATTAGGTGTGTGTGAAAAAAGTAGTCCACGTTTTTTATTTTTATTTTGTATAAATAAATATATCTAAACAATTTTTAATTTTTTGTAAACGATATATATGTCGTAGCCGATTATGAATGAAATTTGACGATTATGAATGAAATTTTTTGACAAATCTTTCTAGTAGAGCAACCCTTTAATGTATGAGGACAATATTATATCATCTTGTAGCGAATTCAATTCTGCGTCGATTGGTACCAAATTTGTGAGTTTAGGTTAAAAATTGCCGGCGCTACAACGTTTCATTCAAAATCGGCGGGACCCCCGTAGCCGATTATGCATTTCAGCCGATTATGAATGAGTGGGCCTAGAAGCGTCCAACCATCAAGTATTTAGTATCATTCAACGCAGAATCATTGATAATTATGTTAAATTTTTGAAATTAGCAAGATTTGGTGAAAAGAAAAAAAAATTAGAGCAAAAAAAACTGTTTGCTCAAGAGAAAACTTTGAGGCCTTTAGAAGCAGCTCTAGAAGGAGCTTTAGAAGCAGCTCTAGAAGCTCTAGAAGCAGCTCTAGAAGCTCTAGAAGCTCTAGAAGCTTTAGAAGCAGCTCTAGAAGCTTTAGAAGCAGCTCTAGAAGCTCTAGAAGCAGCTCTAGAAGCTCTAGAAGCAGCTCTAGAAGCTCTAGAAGCAGCTCTAGAAGCTCTAGAAGCTCTAGAAGCAGCTCTAGAAGCTCTAGAAGCTTTAGAAGCAGCTCTAGAAGCTCTAGAAGCTTTAGAAGCAGCTCTAGAAGCTCTAAAAGCTTTAGAAACAGCTCTAGAAGCTAGAAGAAAAAAAAATTAGAGCAAAAAACTGTTTGTTCAAGAGAAAACTTTGAAGACCCATAATTTGTGTTCATTTCATCAAATCTTGCTAATTTCAAAAATTTAACATAATTATCAATGATTCTGCGTTGAATGATACTAAATACTTGATGGTTGGACGCTCCTAGACCCACTCATTCATAATCGGCTGAAATTCATAATCGGCTACGACATATATATCGTTTAAAAGCTTATTTTTTCCTCTTTCGAATGATATATTTATTTTTTTAAAAGGACGACAATAAACTACTTTCATTTTAGTTTGAAAATGGTATACACAAGTATCGTTATTCGGTCAAATTTGCTTTATGAGTTCAAAAATGGGTTGAAAGCTGCGGAGGCTGCACGTCGAATTCGGAATGCGTTTGGCGAAAACGCCGTTACTGATGATACCGCTAGGTTTTGGTTCCAACGATTCAAAGGTGGTAATGAAAGCCTAGACGATGAACGACGTGGCGGTCGTCCTGAGACCTGTTCGGATAACCAAATAAGACGCTGTCTTCTCGAAAACCCTCGTTCAACCTCTTCAGAAATAGAAAAACTGTATTGGAACCGTAATGGATCAAAAAAAGAACCGTATTGGAACCGTATTGGAACCATATTGGAACCGTATTGGAACCGTATTGGAATCGTATTGGAACCGTATTAGAACCATATTAGAACCGTATTGGAATCGTATTGGAATCGTATTAGAATCGTATTGGAACCGTATTGGAACCATATTAGAACCGTATTGGAATCGTATTGGAATCGTATTAGAATCGTATTGGAACCGTATTAGAACCATATTAGAACCGTATTGGAATCGTATTGGAACCGTATTAGAATCGTATTGGAACCGTATTAGAACCATATTAGAACCGTATTGGAATCGTATTGGAACCGTATTAGAATCGTATTGGAACCGTATTAGAACCATATTAGAACCGTATTAGAATCGTATTGGAACCGTATTGGAATCGTATTGGAACCGTATTAGAACCATATTAGAACCGTATTGGAACCGTATTGGAATCGTATTGGAACCGTATTAGAACCATATTAGAACCGTATTGGAACCGTATTGGAATCGTATTGGAACCGTATTGGAACCATATTGAAACCGTATTGGAACCGTATTAAAGAAAATTAAATTGTGATGGGTCAACCGTAAGGAAACGCTTGAATGCCATGAATTTTATCAAAAAGTTGGACAAATGGATACCGCATAAACGTTAAAAACGTGGATTACTTTTTCACACACCTAATACATTCTATATCCCTTCCTAGTTTAATGTCTGTACTCCAATTTTCGTTTGAACTACTGCATTGTCTAAAAAAAAGCTTATTATTAATTATATGATTTGCATTTAGATGGTGTTCAAGAGTTTTCTTCGAATCAAAATTCCGGGTATCAAATCTGGCTAATCGGTTGATAAATGAGGGGGAAAATGTTCAACCTTCACTAAAATGAACCCTGATAGACTTGTGCCGGAAACTAATAGATGTAAGAACCAGGCTTGCCTGCTTGAGATTGGTCAAAGTTTCAAATTTCTAGGCTAGACTAGGCCAGGGTGCTTCAAAGGCAATTCCATTCCAAGACTTATGGCATTCCAAGCCATAAGCCCAATAAGTAAGTCCATAAGTTCCAACTATAAGTCCAATGTTCATCTAGAAGTCCAAGTCTTGGTCTGGCTTCTGGTCTGCCTAATTTGGCTTGACTTTAATATAGGCTTGGTCCAGAAAAAGTCTTTAGACTCACCAGAAGCAGGACTAGGTCTGACTGCTGGCCTATTTTGAACTGGACTGTATGTGTCTGATCTTGGATTTGATTCGAAAAAACCAAATAGAGCGGGAGTTAAAAACCAAACCAAATTGGGAGGCAAAGAGCGTGTTCACAGTCAGAAAAAGTGGTTTTCAAATAGCTGTGTAAATGAAAATCGACTCTTACCATCAACATTACCTCTTACCATGCTTATATCAATACTTTTATGCATAGTGCGCTTTATAAAAGCTATTGGGTTGTCCAGTTATGGATGCGCGTTTTTACTATTTTGTGAATTTCTCGAGATGTCTCTCAAGATCCAGGATGGTGGATCAATCTCTCATATACATCGAACAGATGTATACGAGTGTTATATATCATTCGAAAGCTGAAGATCTCCTCTACATTTTGATATAAAAAGCTTTGGAATTTGTTCAGCTTTTGGGGCAAATTGATGGGGGGTAATCAAAACAGCGCCATCATAGAAAACGTTCAAAACAGCGCCGTCAAATTTCTCAAAATCCAAAAAACCAAGCCGGTTCAAGTTTTATATCAAAAAATTCCTCGCGTTCTTGGCTACATGATGGGTGAAACAGTTTTTTAAAAAAGTTAATATTTCATAGATAAAAAGAGCACTCAAAATGGGAGGATCACGACACACGTGAAAGTTTTCTATTGTGGCGCTGTTTTGGCAACCCCCCTATAATGCTTATATAATTTAAAGTAAAGAATCTTTCTTCGAGAATGATTTAGAGACGTTTTTATGTTCAATTTAAATTTTTGTCGCAAATTTTAAATGTTAATTTTCGCACGACATCGCATTCCAATTGACGTCGCCGCCATTTGGAGGTAGTCGATGGGAGCGTCGCGTCATCGTTTCTTTTTCATTTTTTCAAATCATTTTTTTCAAATCATTTTTTTTGTTAGATTAATTGAAATTCTTGTTTTATGCAAAAACCACCTCTCCCTTTGTGCAATCAATTTGGGGGGTAGTCAAAGCAGCGCCATCATGGAAAACGTTCAAAACAGCGCCGTCAAATTTCTCAAAATCCAAAAAACCAAGCCGGTTCAAGTTTTATATCAAAAAATTCCTCGCGTTCTTGGCTACATGATGGGTGAAACAGTTTTTTAAAAAAGTTAATATTTCATAGATAAAAGGAGCACTCAAAATGTGTGTCGAGTGATACTCAGTTGGTTAACTGCATCCTCTCTACTTTAATTTGATACTTAAGCGCGCAGAAAGAAATGTCTGGGCGCCGAGATATGAGCATTCATTTGAGAGTAAACTTAGACTACACGACACTCCTTCAGGCGGTCGCTCTATTACAGCATTTACGGGAGATTTCTTTCTAATTTCAAAGAGAAACACAAAATTTGGGGTAGGCTAATTTCCGCAACTTTTTTTGCGCAACAGGGTCATTTGCGCAACTGGGTCGTTTGCGCAACTCATCATAACTTTCTTCTAAGTAAGCCAATCTTTATGATTTAGGTCTCATTTTGTTGCACTTATTGAGATCTACAAAATGAGATCAAAATCATAAAGATTAGCCCACTTAGAAGAAAGTTATGCCGAGTTGCGCAAACGACCCAGTTGCGCAAATGACCCTATTGCGCAAAAAAAGTTGCGGAAACTAGCCTACCCCTTCATTTTCTTTCTTTCCTTTCTTTTATTTCTTTTCTTTCTTTCCTTTCCTTTCTTTCCTTTCTTCCTTTTTCTTTCATTTTCCTTCATTTTCCTTCATTTTCTTACTCTTTCTTCTTCTTCTTAAAAACCTTACTTTTCTTGATCTTTCTTGCATGGATTGAGCATTATTTTATATTAAAAATAGCTTCAAAAATGACCCACTCACACAGAAAATGAAAACACTTTGATATTTCGCTCAATTTGAGCTCGATTGCGGAAACTAGCCTACCCCCAAAATTTATTGCATAAAACAAGAATTTCAATTAATCTAACAAAAAAAATGATTTGAAAAAATGATTTGAAAAAAATGATTTGAAAAAATGAAAAAGAAACGATGACGCGACGCTCCCATCGACTACCTCCAAATGGCGGCGACGTCAATTGGAATGCGATGTCGTGCGAAAATTAACATTTAAAATTTGCGACAAAAATTTAAATTGAACATAAAAACGTCTCTAAATCATTCTCGAAGAAAGATTCTTTACTTTAAATTATATAAGCATTATAGGGGGGTTGCCAAAACAGCGCCACAATAGAAAACTTTCACGTGTGTCGTGATCCTCCCATTTTGAGTGCTCTTTTTATCTATGAAATATTAACTTTTTTAAAAAAGTGTTTCACCCATCATGTAGCCAAGAACGCGAGGAATTTTTTGATATAAAACTTGAACCGGCTTGGTTTTTTGGATTTTGAGAAATTTGACGGCGCTGTTTTGAACGTTTTCTATGAGGGCGCTGTTTTGACTACCCCCCAAATTGATTGCACAAAGGGAGAGGTGGTTTTCGAAAAAACCCATTCCAGCTTAGCTATTCCTAAAGTTTTATGGTGTAAAATAACCGCCCAGAAAAGAAAAGAAAAGTAAAGATGCTCTGAAATTGTTATATTTTTAAAAAGTTGTATTGATATATCTATTGGTCAAACATCAAACGGTCAACTCAATTTGAGCGGAGCCAAAACTTGATCCAAAGGCACCTCGGCTGGCTCTGAGTCCCGAGAGCTGACTCTGAGTCCTGAGAGCTGGTTCTGAGTCCCGAGAGCTGGCTCTGAGTCCTGAGAGCCAAAAGAGCGGAGCCAAAACTTGATCCAAAGGCACCCTTCCATTTTTTGGTCACCTCCTCTTCTGTGCAGTTAATTTGCCCAAAAGCTGGACAAATTCAAAAACTTCAAAAAAACTTCAAAAAACGACTTCAATCGAGATTTCTATTGAGATTTCACTATATTCTAGTCCTAGTTTATCTCGTCTTCACCAAGATCGACTTCATCAAACAATTCGGCAATCATCTCGTTGACTCTGGCAAATTTCACTCACCGAAGTCTTTGAGACGAAAGTCCAATAGAACTAAAGAACACTAAAAAGCACTAAAGAACACTAAAAAGAAACTGGGTAAAAGAAATTTAGAAAATACATAGATGTAGGAAATACATAGATGTAGGAAATAATTTAAGTGAAAAAAAAAGCGTAGCCTTTCCTTCCTCAAGCGTTCCTCAAGCACTTTCCGACACAATAAAGCTCATAGTTTAAAGCAATTCAGAACTTTTCTTTGGGTTTAACATATGCGAACCCGGTTGAGCTCTTGATAGCTGTCGTTAGATTGAAGAGAGTGGACTGTCAAGAGTTTGCGATGATTCCGAAAAATTGACAAGAGCAATTTTCTTTAAATTGCGTTTTTTCTTCTATCTGGATATCACACTAGAGGTTTGAAAATTCGGGCTTTCGATTTTCATCAAATTATTTGTACTCGATGAGTACAGCTAAGAGTTTGCGATGATTCCGAAAAATTGACAAGAGCAATTTTATTTTCATTGCGTTTTTTCTTCGATCTGGATATCACATTAGGTTTTCTAGAATTCGGGCTTTCGATTTTCATCAAAACATTTGTACTCGATGTGCACTGCTGAGAGTTCGTGCTTATTTCAAAAAATTGACAAGAGCTATTTTCTTTTAAATGCGTTTTTTCTCTTATCTGGATATCACATTAGGTTTTCTAGAATTCGGGCTTTCGATTTTCATCAAAACAGTTGTACTCGATGAGTACAGCGAAGAGTTTGCGATGATTCCGAAAAATTGACAAGAGCTATTTTCTTTTCATTGCGTTTTTTCTTCTATCTGGATATCACGCGAGAATTGCTAGAATTCAGATTTTTGTTTTTCGAAGCTTTCGATTTTTTGTCGAGTGCAGTCAATTTCGCAAAAAGTTGAGTGAATGAAAAACTTTTTATTCCAAAATGTAGAGGAGATCTTCAGCTTTCGAATGGTATATAACACTCATATGCATCTGCTCTATATCTTGAGAAATTTACAAAATAGTAAAAAACGCGCATTCATTACTGGACAACCCAATAGTTCGACAATTCCGACCTGTTATGATCGACCCAACGACGAGTACCTCGAGAACTTCACGAATTTTCGCCCAATGTACTTTCAACAAGTTTGTCATTGCCGAAATTGAGTTTGAATGTGAACAAAATCCAAAAACAAAAACAAAATCTTGAAATAAACTCGTAAGTTTGAAGATTCAAAAATAGAATTCTCTCGAAAGAAAGCTCATTTCTCTCGAAAGTTTTAGCTTTGCTGAATGACTAAAGCCATCAAATGTTACCTCTTAAATGGTATATGAATAACAACAAAAGTTATTGTACCAATTAAAAAAATGTATTTTGCTCGTCAAGATTGTATTCTCAGGAACAAATAGACCCATATGATAAAGTAAAAAACAACACTAATTGTAGTCATTCTACTTAAAACCAAAAAGAAAATAGAGGCATATTCAAAAAAGAAATGTACCGAGTTTACCGAGTTTGTACCGAGTTTCAAAAAGTCACCTCAAATTAGGATTCTGTGACGTTCTGTTTATTAGGATAAGCGTCCTGTTTATTAGGAACACTTCTAATTGGCTCTCTTAGATTATTTGGAGAAAAAACTACTCAAAAAACTACTCAAAAAACTACTCAAAAAACTACCTACAGACCACAAAATTTTCTCAACTAGTGGTGCTGAAATGAAGAAATTTATGTGAGAGTTTGAAAGAATCAGCACAGACCAGATCATGGCGAAAATGAGACAAACAAGCCCGGGTTAGGCGCTATATTATACCGTACTGGTGCATTCAAAACTTCGCGAATTTTTGGCCAAAACCTTTTCAGTACGTACAGTAGCGGAAATAATTTTGGAAACTTTTGTTTTTTCTAAAAAAATTTTCTTAGTAAAATCTGATTCGGTCTGTTTACTAGCGAAAATATGTAGGCATAAAAAGCACGTAATAATCCATAGACAGAACTTTTTGAACTTTTTGAACGCTATTATCTTTAATGAATTTATCTGTAAACCCAGAGGACATAAATTTGAAAACTTTTAAAAACAACTCTAAATAATGACGTAACAAACCATTAAACTTCTAAAGTAAAACAAAAACAAATAAATAAATTCTATACTTTGGGGAAGCTCCTTTAGAATCAATGACAGCCTGGCACCGAGCGCTCATCGAGGCGATCAAGTTGTCGATGGTTGCTGTTGTTTGAATTTCCATCCATTTCTTAGCTAAAAGCTCGAATTTTTCATTAAGATTATGGCTCTTAACGCCTGACAGGCTCTTTCTAGAACTTCCTACATATGTTCAATATGGTATAAATCAGAACTCTGGCTTGGCCATTTCATAAAATAATTCCTTCCTTCTGAAACCAGCCTTTTACAAGCCGCGAAGTATGTTTGTCCTGTTGAAAAAGAAAGTTAGAAGGCATCAACTGGAGGGCACTTGGAAGCTTATGTTTTGATAAAATGTCCAAGCAAGCATAGTTTGTCTATAATTCCATCAATGCGTTTTAATGGGATCATTCCGTAGGCTGAAAAGCCGCTCCATACAAGAACACTACCACCGCCATCTTTCAAAGTCGGAATTACGTATCCTTTACTGAGCCTTTTGTTTATAGGACGACGAACATATTGAATGCCATCAGATTTAAACAATTCGAACTTAGTTTCGTCGGAAAAGAGGCAAATGGACCATTGTTGAGCTGTCCGATATCGATGCTCTTCCGTGAATTTGACCCGAAGCTTGCGATTCTTTACAGAGATCAGTGGCTTACGAGCAGGACGTCGACCAAAAAAATCCAAATCTGCGTAAACGACGTTGTACTGTCTTTGAACTAATTTCCTTTTTGCCTTTTTCAGGCAAATCGGCGTAAATCTCGACCGATGACTTCTTTGGGTCAACCTTTGAAAGAGTTTTCATCCGCAAATCATCTCGTTTTCGCGTCTTTCTTTATCTTCCCTTTTGCTTATGAGCATTGGCTGATCCAGGTAAAGCGTATCTTTTTCAAATTTTTGAGTACTCTTTTTAAAGGCCAAAAGATCGAACGATAAATGTCTGCTTCTGCTCATTTCGGTGCATTCGTACAACATCTTCGCGTTTCTTCGTTGAAGTCTCTTTCTTGCTGCCAATCTATAAAAAAAAGTTTAAAATAAATAGTAGAGGGTTAAAAGATAAAAATATAATTAAAAAAGTAATATATTTGAGATTTTTATAAAAGTTTCCAAATTTATGGGCCTCTGGCTTTACAAATAAATGCATTCAAAATAATAGTTTTCAAAAAGTTCAGCAGTTCTGTTTATGGATTATTCCGTGCTTTTTATGCCTACATATTTTCCCTAGTAAACAGACCGAATCAGATTTTAATCAGCCAATTTCACTCTGATCTTTTTGTCGTTGATTTCAATCGATAGAAAATATAATTCTGCGTCAATTGATATCAAAATCAAAAAGATCGGAGTGAAATTGGCCGAGATATGCCATTTTTCCATTGGATGGACACCTATTTGACGTCCACACCGAAAATTCCCAGACCTACTCGGTACAAGGAGGCTACAGTAAGTTGCTACCGTAACCTTAACAATCAAAAATAGCACTTGAAGTACATGAAGTAAAAAGGCACTACAATAAAGATTTCAAATTTTTTCAATTTTCCCCAAAACTGTCGTAACACATGCCATTTATTGTTTTGATATTGTGTGGGAACATTTATTGTCAAGAGATCAACAACTTTAGAGTGACAAACGAAAACTAACCAATAGATAACTAAACAATCAATCCTTTGTCGTTATTCGGGTCGAAGACGTACGAATCCCTCCAGAATCCTCGTTTGTTCCCCGTTCAGTCGACATCTCTCCGTCATTCGCTGGGCTTGCAGTTTGAGTTGAGCTCGAGGCAAATCACGGGACATTATCTAAACATTTTGAATTCTTTATTTAACGATCAAAGTATGTAGAATTACTTGAGTGTACATCAACGAGAAAACGATAAATGTAAACTGCAAATCAAACTTCATATCTAGTTAAAGCTTTTAACAATAAGTTGAAAAGGTTATTCTTGGATAATTACACATTTACCAATAAATTATTCTACATTTAAAAGACTTGCCTCAAAAATGAAAGCAGCAAAATCGGTGTTCTTCTGTCGAAGTGCGTGATCGAAGAGCTCTTGAATGAGGCCGATCTTCAGTTGACCTTCTTGAACAACCTTTGGCACTTCGTTCTAAAGAATTTGAATGTTTTTTATGAAAAATGCTTCATTTTAGCATTAGTTCAAATTTGCCCCACCTCTTTAACATCCTCCTCTTCAACCAACATCCGCAACAAGTCAATCGCCTTGTTTTCCTCTCCAATCTTTGTCAAAAGACATGCGCATTCAATTATCTAAAAAAAAAAACGAATGATTACTTTAAAATGAAGCCAAACTGTGCTCGGGTAGAGTTTTTGCTGTAGACGATTTCGGTCCTTCTTATTGAATTCACTGTATTCGACGAGGGCGTTGACAATTCTATGCACAACTTGTGAATATTCTTCACGTTCAGTGGGACTCAAAGCCTAAATATGAAAAAAATTATCTAGAATATTTTAAAAGCTAACCGAATAGTTGATCCCTTTGAGTAGGAGACGGAGATCAGATGAGACACGAGCATCGGTCAACATTTGAGCACAAATTCCGTCTTCCGTCAAGCGTTTAATAAATGACCAATTGTCTGAGTTCTAAATAAAGTTGTTTCCTTGAAAAGCCATCAAATTTCTAGTACCCGTAGACGATTGATGAGCCTGATGATGAGGAAACGAGAAACACCAACACGATTTGGAACATATTCCTGAAATAATATTATATTTTATTATATTACTATCAATATCTTGTTTTTTGATCAATCAACCGGAGACTACTACGTTATCGTCAACATTATATTACTAACCTTGTAGACCCTCTCAATTTCCTTTAAATCCCCAGTTGTGTCAATGAAGAGCTGTAGGTATTTGTTGTAGAAACTGAATAGCTTATTTTAAAGAAAAAAAACTTGATCAAATAAACCTGTTCTCAAAAGTGAACTCCGGGGCTTTCACTTTGTTATTTGGTGATTCATAGAATTGTACAACTTTCTGCGCAATCTCCACATTTTTCGTCATCAGACATATTGACATGGCCGTGAGAAAAAAGTGATGATCGTTGAGGGTGTTTGACTAAAATTTTAATACATAAATTAGAGCATTCAACGAATTCACTGACCTCATACGTTTCACCAGCAATCCGAGTCATTATTTCATTCAAAACGGTGATTGCAAGCTGAAAATTCATTGAAATATTTAAACGGTCAGATTTTACCTTTAAATCATCTTCCTTAGGCTTGAAATCTTTGTTATCCGCATCTTTTGTTCGAATTTTTACAATTCCATTCAACAAATGATTGTAGGTTAACAAAGTGGGATGAATCTAAAGCAAAAAAAAAATAGTCAAGTTTTCCAAAATATTAAAAAAAATAACAAAATAACAAAATATACCTTTAAAAGTTTCATCTCTCCAAGAATTTTCATTGCCGTTTTTTGGCGTTTATCTAACGGTGCCTAAATGAACAAGTATTTTCTTTGTTAAATCTTTAAATTTAAAATTTACCGTCATGTTGCTCTCCAGTAAAGCATTGAATGTGTTCACATTTGGTTTTATTGATAGCTGATTCATCTTTTGGAGTAATTTGAGAGACAGCTTAATCCAAATGTTAGAAATTTTCGGACAACAACTTTTAACCCAACCGAAAATTGAGATTTTCCCATCACAGCATTGAAAGCTTCAACACAAGGAGTGGCACCAGATGAAAGAATTTCCTAAAAACATCAATTTGACTTAAAATTCTTATAATTAACCTGGAATAGTTGATTTGCTTTCTCCGTACTTTGAGTGTGCTTAATAATCCCACAAATCATTGCCGATTTGACCTCAGGAGTTTGTTCAATTGATTCATAAAGCAAAGAAATCACATCGTCCTGAAAATTGTTAAAAAATAAGAAAAAAAAAAGATTAAAAAAACTACCTTCCATTTTGGTGGATCGGCTTCTCCAAAGGTTCTCAGCCCGTGCCACTCCAATTCCTCGTAGAACGGCACATTTTCTCCACCATAATACGCCAAGAGAAAGAAGAGATCTTTCTAAAAGATAAAAATCAAATTTTATCTGAAATTGACCGTTAGTTTTTAAAAACTAAACAATATTGTACCTTAACACCTTCAGAAACATTAATATCTTTCTCGCGGATTTTCTCGTACAAGATGGTCGCGTCTTTCACTTGTCGCTTCTCAATTAACATCCAAAGATTCTGCTCATTTGGATCCATCTATAAACAAACTTTGTTTTAACAAGTTATCCGTAACTTTTTACCAAAGCCGGATCAAGTTCCTTTTGTGGTCGAAAAGCATTCATCCGTGGAAATTCACGATCAAAGGCGAACAAAGTTGGCCATTCCTCGGCAAGTTGACGCGCAGCACGACGACCTAGTTCCTAAAAAGTAGCTTTTATCATAAATTTTGATAACTTTTTAATGATAGGAACGTTAAGTTTTGTTTTTTTTTATAAGTTACACAGCTTTTAAAAGGTTCAATCAATTATAAAGGTCAAGTTCCCATCTTTCAGAATAATTAAAGCATACCTTTGCCAAATAGTAATTCCTCTTTTGTCCAGGTGTTGTTGGAATCATTGCCGGATCATCGATAAATGAGAAGTGTGGAGCCGTCGGATCAGTGCCAACCGTCGACGCCAATGCTTCAAGTAGAGCGGTCGGACTTCTCTAAAATGGAAACTAAAATCGTACTATTGACTTTGGGGGGTACACTTTCTTTTCGCCAAAACCACTTTTCCCGAAATAATTGAGTATGCTGAGCACGAAAATAACATTTTTAGGTTATATTTTTAATCAAAAACGCATTTTTTTTGTAAAATTTTGCGGAAATAAGGAATTTTGAGTATTTTAAATGCAAATTTTCTCTTTTAAATATAAATTTCCGGATTTTCATGCAAATTTTGGCTTACTTTTCAAGAATTTACAGATAAAATAACCTAGTTAACTTAAAAACACACTACTGTCTCATTCTTTTCTACAATTTCTACAACTAGGGCAAATTCTCTTTTGATGTAATAACCCGATAGTGCTCAAAAAAATCCTCAAAATCCGGGTAGTGGCAATTTTTCAGCGGATTTCAATAAATTCATGTCGCTCAACACTTGTATTGCCTGTGCTGTCATTTTGTAGAAAAGAATGTTACAGCAGTATTTCTTTAAGTTTAAAAACTTAAAAGTTAACTCTCAACATCAACTCTCCACAATTGCACTTTACCTTAATAGCCGGTTGAATGTTCAGTTGATTTGGTGCAAGATTTGATAAGCCTCGAATCACATTGAAACGATGCATCTCGCATTACTAAATTATCAAGATCAATTTTTTATCCAGGTCAAACACAGTTTTAAAGCATAAAATTTTTCAAGTAACACAAAACCATTCAATACTTTTGCACGAGTTAAAACTGTGACTTTCTTAACATTTTCCTTTTAAAGAAATCTTTATTCACATCTCGTAAATACCCGAGAAACAAAAAGAAACTTGTAAAACAAGAACAACAACATGAAAACAAATACAAGAATCATGTTTAGGCGATCGGTTTAGATGTAACATGCCACATTCCATCGTTGAGATAATGGATATTCTCGATGCCCGTTCCTTTGTTTACCTAAAAAAAATAAAAATAAAATAGAACTTAAGATTTTGTATATTTTTAAGGTTTGTTTTTAAAATAACCTGAAAAATTCCATCTTGATGTTCCTTTCACTGTTAGATTAATAGTAAAGTCGCAACTTTGGTAAGTTTTTTTTGTTATAAAAATCTTCAAAATCATAGTAATGCTTCAAGGAAGAGATATGATACTACTTTACTGAATTAAAACCAATTTTGCATTTCAAACGTAAAGTCTTAAATATTTTAAAACTTACTTTAGGCATCCGGAATTTTTTTTTCTCTATTGGAATCTATCGGAATCCAAATCTTGAGCTTATCAGTATTCTTTTGGGTTCCGCGTTTGAATAATTCAAAAATATAGTTACCTTTTTGATCTCCTCGCTTGATAAAGTCATCAAACCGACGGCCAATGCGTGCTCTTTCCCCTCAGCCATCACCGCAACAATCTAAACGTCAACATTATGTGCCCAGGTTTGACTTTTTAAACTACAAAAAAAAATCTTTATGGTATGTTTTTGAATTAAAGCATTAGTATTAACAAAATATGCATACCTGCCCTTTTGAAACATTGTCGAGAAGTTTCGCTCCCGGACTTGTCAAACCTGGGCACATAATGTGTGATCCATTCAGCACGAACTTGATCGCACCCTAAAATTGTCTAGTTAATGCAACATCTTTAACAAAATCGAAACATATCGTTATAGAAATAGCAAATATTGTTTTAATATCAATAACAAACAAAAAATTTAACTTGTTGTTTAACTTGTTACCTTATCAACTTGTTGATGTGGTAGGATAAATGGATATTTATGGAGGAGGCGTAACGTGGGCACAAAAAGACCATCTCGTGTCTAAAAACCCTGATTAGTTTAAGATTTTTACCTTTTCGTTCCTTCTTTTATTCGTTACTTTCAATTTTACTACTAAATCAAAAATTGAAAAATTTATTAAGATTTTTGACCTAAAGATGTACAAAACCGTTTACCCATTGTTACTTTTAACTTTAGAACAAATCTAATTTGTTTCTAAAGTTGAACTGGCTATTTAATCAATCATACAAATCAACGACAACTTTTACTATACTTCTAAAAGGCAAACCTTGATAAAGTAGACAAATCCATCGTATGCTTGTACTAAGTCAATGTGATCCTTGCAGCGAATCGTCTTCAAATTCTCCTTTTTTGGAAAGATTTGCTCCATGTGTGATTCCAAGTGTGGAAACTGAAAAGCAATTAATGTGGATGAGATAATTTAAAAATTAGTTTTAGATATTAGCAAAATCGGTCAAAGATACTTTGCCTGAAAAAAGAGCCGTTTCATGGCTTTTTTGACCTTTTTTTAACAGTTTGTTTTTCTTTTTAAAATCTTACAGTTTTAAAAGAAAGAGAAAGATTTAATCCAACTGGAATAAGCTTAAGAAAGGCAGAAAATCGACAAAAGTTGGCCAAAACATTGTACTTTGCTTAAAAAGGACTTTTTATTGTTGCTTTTAACATGTTTAATTGTTTTTAACAGTTTTTAATGAACTTTAATGAACATTTCATTTCAAAACAGATTTCCGTAAAAAGGTGCTATACGGGTCAGGGGGCCAAAAAATTTTCTATGCTAATTTTTCTTTCCGGTTATGTTCCACATCATAAAATTACTGGTTTTCTTTTAAATTTATGAATTAAATTAACAACATCAACAACATTTATGAATTAAAATTAAAATTACCAACAACAATACGACAAGAAAACTTAAGTCAGAAGATAACGATCAGTAATAAGTTCCCAGGACTCATACTACTCATATCTTAAGCTTTGAGTATTATGCTGCCACTTCCACAAGACTTCATAGTAGTGGTCGTAACAAAGCTCACCATTTAATCCGTTTCGCCACTTAATCTGACGCTTAAGCCGGCTCCATAGGTACTTTTTCCGTTCAGTCCCCCTCTCAACCATCAGCTTTCTTTTTTATCTTAATATTTGCATTTTTTCTGTGTTTAATTGTGTTTAACTTAATAGTGTTTCATTTTTTCTTGCTTAAAGTGCTCGTAAATTGTGATAAAAAGTTGTATAAAACAATTTTATATCAAAACGTATTGGTTTAAGATAGCCACTCAACCGTACGGTTATTGCTTGAAGAGAATGTAGTCTAAAATGCAAATGGTTGAAAAAGGAAGCTGATGAAATGAAAAAGATAAAAAAGCTGGGGGGGGGCTAAACAGAAAAGTATAGTATACAAATGGTTCAAAAAGAAACCTGATGGTTGGGAGGCCCTAAACAGAAAAAGTACCGCTCCATAAACCTTCAATGTGCTGTGTATGAACGCCAGTGAAATTAGCATATAAAATTTTTGGCCCCCGACCCGTATAGCACCAAAATCTAGTATATCTTTTAAAAAAATTAAAATCAACCTGCTCCAAAAGTTTCGTCCGAATCCCCCGTTGCACACTTGTCTTCAATTGAGTCGCCCCACCAGTTATATCATCGTTTCCGTCGAATTTCTTGAACATCTCTAAAAATAAGAAGATTTTAACGAAAGTGCTGAAAAAAAACCAAGTAAGAACCAGGGAAAATGAATAATTTTCGTCATCTAACAGTGATTGATACAGGAATTTGTTGTAAATTTAAATATACACGTTCTAAAAGCTATACTTCTAAACTTCTACTTCTAAAAACTATCGATTTTTAAATCAAATTGCGTTAAAGTTTTAAAAAATGCTTTTCTTATTAAAAAAACGAAAGGTTTTGTTGGCTTGATAGGCTTGATACAGGAGTTTGTTGTAAATTTAATTAAAAAATGCTTGTCTCATTAAAAAACGAAAGGCTTGATACAGGAGTTTGTTGTAAATTTAAATATACACGTTCTACTTCTAAAAAACTATCGATTTTTAAATCAAATTGCGCTAAAGTTTTAAAAAATGCTTTTCTTATTAAAAAACGAAAGGTTTTGTTGGCTTGATAGGCTTGATACAGGAGTTTGTCGTAAATTTAATTAAAAAATGCTTGTCTTATTACAAAACGAAAGGCTTGAATCAAATAAAAATAAAATAAAATAAAATAAAATAAAAATAAAATAAAATAAAAATAAAAATAAAATTAAATAAAATAAAAATAAAAATAAATAAAATAAAAATAAAAATAAATAAAATAAAACAAAATCGAAATCGAAATGAAACAAAAAAAATGGACTAAAAATTTATAGCTTAATTTTCTCTACCGTAATCGTTTTCTATTTTGCACTGAAACCGTTTTCTATTTTGCACTAAATAAACAAATCTATTTAATAGAAAGAAATTTAACTATTTTTCAAGTTTTAATAGAAAATGTCTCACTCCTAAAGTTTTGAGAAAACCCAAAGTGCCTTTTTGTTCATTCTTAATGCATCCGTGCTACCGTACCCTCATCTTTCAGGTCAATTATTACATAGGCGTGTGCCCGAGTTGGCTCAATGCAGCGCCCCAATTTTTCAACTTTCACCAAATTTTTTGTCTGCTAGTGGAAGTTTTTTCAAAAAATTTTAAGTCTAAAACAAAATGATCGCATCGAATATTCCGTGCAGAATATAGAGCTAAAATTTATTGAATTTTGCGCCTTTCTAACAATTGCTACTAAATTTTGAAGTTTTCCTTTGCGCTTTCCTTTTTCCTTTCATTTTCGTTTTATATTGTTTTTAAAAATTTATTTATATATTTAGAGCTTGTCGTCTATGAATGGATAATCCGAAAGAAAGGCACTCAAAGTCGCCGGCGTTGCACAGAAAAGGATCGACTGATAAGGTTTGTGAGGATTTTTGGTACATGCACCTATGGGTTTTAAAAAAAGTAGCCTCTACTTTTTTAAAAACCACTTTATTAGAGGTTTTCGACTGCGCCGATTCCAAATTTGTAGAAAATTTTTAAAGGTTTTTAATTGACTTTTGGTTCTTCTCATTTAGGCATAATGGCAACTTGTAAGCGTGCATTAGTGCATTAGTGCCGGATTTTTTTTTGTTCAAAATGATATATGTATGTCGGAGAATGCTAATTTTAATTTTAATTGTGATTTTTAATTTAGTTATGATTTTAGTTGTAGTTTTAGTTGTCATTTTTTAACAAATGATTGAAAGTAGAGAGTTAAACAAGAATTTAAACGTTAAAGAGGCTTTTGTTGGCAAATCCGCCCGGTTTGCGTAATTTAAAATATTAACTCGAACTATTTTTCCTATTACGTCAATAGGGTTTATCTATTACATCATCTTGCCACAACACATGCTATGGCAATTTTTAAATAGTCGTCTATTTCTTATTCTTGTTGCGAGCACGAAGTGCTATAGCAGTTTTATATAAAAGCCCTATACATCTTCTACAGATTCGTCTGGAACCCATAATGAAAAGCGGGATCAAACGCGAGAAAACCTATATTTTGTTAAACACCGACAAAACGTCATTCAGAGAAAACCACAGGACAGATTGATTTGAAAATTTGAGTGTAGACGTAATTAAACATTCTCTACGTTTTTTCTTTGAACACCAAAGTCGGTTTGTTGGATGGAAATCTTTAAATAACCAACTCTCCATCAGCCCATTTTTGACTCCTTAAGTTTGATCATTTGAAAAAGTGTGAAAACAAAAGCTTTCCCGTCTGACTCAAAAGGTGTTTTGTAGAGAAAAGATAGGACTTTCTTATTTTTGAAGCCCCTAGGATTTACTATCAAATTGGGTGTAAACCTCTTGAAAGAATACCGACATTTCATGTGCATTGACCCTATAGTTTCGTAAGTTTAAACAAAACTTTAAATTCGATAATCCTTTAATTTCTATTATCCATTTTTAGACTGAAGTCGAGACGGCCTCTACAAGTTCAATTGACACCGCGGACAGTCCAACAGTCGCCTGCAAAACACTAAAGCTACAATGTGTCTACGGTAAGTTACTTTTAAATGCCTACTTAGCATCCAGTTACATTTTTAACTTTTAGGCTACCCTGTGACTGGAGAGAAGTTCATCGTCTATTGGAAGGAAACGGGCGACAACGCTGAGCCGGCTGTTGAAGTAATCGAGAATATCAAGTAAGGAAGCTGAAATTTGTTATTTAACGAAGAAATTTGTTATGTTATTTAACGTGGTATTAATTGCTCCTAACGGAAACATAAGTCCCAAAAGAGATTTCGAAGTTGTTACTAATGCACATTAAAAGGCTTGACAGTGATAAATTTTACGTTTTCAAAACATTCAGCAGCATCTTTTGCTGTATATATTTTAAACTTGGGATAAACGAAAACTTGTTTAAATTAAACTTGGATAATCTTTAGACATTCCATTATTGCCTTTATAATCAATACAATGATTACAATGATTTCAAACTGTATTGCTTACTTTAGGATCATCATGGGCCGTCTACCGGAGATCAAGACTCCGATTCAAACATTCTGTGACAACGAGGGAATCGATCTCAACAACTACACACACATCAGCTACGATAAGATCACTCGTCTCGTCGCCAAGTACAACAAGGCCGCATCAACCTCATTCAACCTGGTGAGTAGATAATAAATGGAGCTAACATAGGGAAGAAAATATGAATAAGTTCTGATAATAAACAAACTCTTAATTTAGTAATCTATGTATTAAACAAACAATTTTATTGCTAATAAACGCTATTTTTTAGGGTTTAAACGTTTAAAAAATAAACGTTCCTTTATTTTTAGTGGAGCGGTCAAACGCGTCCAGGGATAGAAGAATGGTCACATGAAATTTGCTCACAACAACTTCTCCAGTTTGTTTGCTCAACTGCTTTCAACAGGTAAAATACAAGACTGTATAGAATAATTTTTTATATTTTAGAGCTGTCCCGGATGTTAATAGACTCAACAAACACTATGAAGCTTTTTCTTCGGAGGTACCTTTGCTTTGCTAAACATTAGTCATAGCAAAACTTGTTTAGGTCTATGGAGAGACAAGTTATGAGCAGATGGAATTGATGCTTGAGGAGATAAAGCCGACAGAAAATGACGTTTTTGTTGATCTCGGTGAGTAAAGTGTTAAAAATGAAATCAACTTTTAAATTTAGGTTCGGGAGTTGGCCACTTGGTCTGCTATGTGGCTGGACGGACAAAAGTAAAGAAAGCCGTCGGAATCGAGAAAGCGAAGTTTCCGAGCTCATGTGCCATCCAGATGGATAGAACTTTCAAGAAGTAAGAAACAAAAAACTTGATTATTTGCTAGATATGGAAGTAGCAGCATTTACTGGGCACCAAGAACTACATTGCTTCATACTATGCTATTGCTTTAATTTGTTTTTTTTTTTAGTCTGATGAGATGGCACGGAAAACGAGTCAAGAACTTTGACCTTTACGAAGGTGACTTCTTGGATCAAAAATTCCGAAAGTTGATTACAGAGGTGAGTTTTTTATACAAAGAAACTTAAAAACAACATTTTTAGGAGGCCACTATCATCTTCATTAACAACTTCGCTTTTACCGCCGATTTGGACAAGAAGATCAAAGACGAGATTATTAAGAATTGTAAGTGTTGTAAATTTTTGATGAATATGAACTATTTTAGGTCTCCCCGGCACGAAGATCATTTCAACGAAAGCGTATGCACGGAATAAGTCGATCGCTGATCTTTCCGAGAGGGACTTAAATGGTGAGCTTTGGCTTTTTGCAATATTTTTTTATTGTTTTAGACTTGGCTATGATGCTTGACGTCTCGAATCTACCAACTGTGAAGGCCCCGGCTTCTTGGACAGGCGGTCATGTACCATATTTCCTCCACGTGGTGGATCCAGGAAAGGTAAGCTTTTGTAAATTATCTTACCTTAAGCTTCTCAAACAAAAACAACAACTCTAAAACCGGCACGAAGATTACCCTTTAAAAAGAAATAATGTAAACGAACAGTTCGAACTTTGATTAATCAAAGTTGGTCTTTAAAAATTTAGAACTGAATAATTAAAACTTTCAAATAACAACAAAAAAAAGTTGACCAAATTTTGATGACTAGATGTTTTTTTGATTATAATCAAAATGAAATGCATCGATGAATTGATTCTGATCAAAAGGCGGGGGAATTTGCGAGAAAACAGACGAAAAAGTCGATTTCGAAATGCCTTTTAGTGTGTCATCTCGGCAAATGTAGCTGGAATTTTTTTAAAAATATGTTTGCTTTAAAGTTTTTAGTTTGATTTTTTTGCAAAACGAATCTTAATTGTTAAGCCGAACGAGTCTAAATAGAAACTTTACCTTGAATTGCTAAATTTCTTCTAATTTTCAGATCGAGCGCTACTTTGAGTACAAGAACAAGAAGAGCTCGAGCACATCTTCAATGGAGGATCGTCGGAGCATAAATAGCAGCAAGAACAGTCAAAGGTTGATTTCTTTAAGAACTTATTAAAAAAAATCTGTAGATAGACCCTTCAAATTCTTGATCATTAAAGCTTTTGCATTATTTTTTTCCATTTGTTAACGCATGAATAGTACTGGGACCCCGATTTGTTTTCTATCTATCTCATAGATTTTTACAATCGATAATATCGTTTTAGCATTGCTTTTAAAACAAAAACTTTATTATCTATTGTTGAAATTCTTTTCGCATCCCACTTGCACTGTTCTTTTTCATAGGGAAAAGAAACGGAAAATCGACGAAGTGTCAAATGAAGAGAAAGCACGAGAAGTTGAAGAAAAGATTGTCGATGACGAGAAGTTCACCCTGCCCGATTGGGTGTTGCAGAGACGCATTGATGGTACGTGCAGTATGATTGAGCCGATAAGCCCGGAGACGTTGAATTCTGTGTTCAGGCAAGTAAATGCGGACTTGACGAGTTCTTTGTGCGTTCCCATTACTAAGTCCACGATTTTGGAGATATGCAAAAGTTTACCTGAAGAGGAATGATTATTTTTTCGTGTTTGGTTGTTTGTTTTGTGTATTTTTAGTATTTTTGTTTTGTGTGCCTAGCACACCTCTACCTCTTTTTTAGATCCTTGATTGTGATTTCATTTCTAAGGCACGTTATCGTTGTTCTGTGTATTTTATTCTGCTTTATTTCTTCTAAAAGTTCAAGCCTTTCAGTGACGGGTTATTTAATTTTGTATACGAGTAAAATGCAATTGTTTTTGAAGAAAACTTGCTGTTTCTTTTTCTTGAGATTTTTGATTAAGATAAATGTGACTATGGTAAATCGGGTTTCTTTTGATTTATTTTAAAATGATCCAGTTATAAAATTGCTTGTGAAAGTAAACTTCTTGTTTATGAAGTATTTTAGAAGCTCGTCGCGCGAATCGTCGGCTTCGAAAGGATTGGAGATGCACACGAATCCCGGCGGCTCAACGATTGCGACCGTGACACCGAAAGTTGAAGAGATTGGAGATGATAGGTCGGTTGGACGATTTAGCCAGTAAAAAGCATGTTTTTTGTCTTGAAACGGATCGATATCTTTTAATTAAATTCCAATCTCCTTTTCACAACAGTATATCGAATTATAGTACTCATTATGGGAAAAATATACAAAACTGAATATTTTTTTACTGCAAAATTGGAAAGCTAGCCAATCTTGTCAGCTTAGGCTTTATGTTTTTATTCCGACATATTGTAGTGAGTCAAGATATCAATAATTTATGCATATTGATGGGTAAAATGCTTAATTTTTAGAAAATTCGTTCTCGTCAGCACTCAACCGCGCAAACGAGCTAAGGCCAGTCTACCAACATATCAAGAGGTCAATTGGGATGACGACTCGGAGTACTTCCCGTCGGTTGGTTTCATTGAAACATTGTTTTTATACTTGAAATTTTAGAAAAAAGGACGCCCAACCACGACGAAAGATTGTCGTCCACGTGGTCGACCAAAGAAGGGAAGTACGCCGGCAACTCCTATCACTAAGGTGAATATTGAGTAATTGAGCTGGATCGAGTTTCACTAACATAATAACAATGTCGTTAAAAAAAAACACAACATTGATTTTGTGAACTACCTATATTTTTATAAAATTGGTAAAGATTCACCTTTTTAACATGATGTAGTTGAAAGAATTGTAAAGAAAATTGAGAAGAATTGTAGAAGCAATAGAAATAGAAAATAGAAAGAATTGTAGAAGCATTGAAAATCTTAAATAGCCAAAGACAACTTTCTTATTTATTTTTTAGGTACGAGCTCGTTTATCTGAAGAGGCACGTAGTGGAGTTGACGAGATGCACGAGGAAATCGTGAGACAACAAAAGGAAGAATTTGGTAAGAAAATTGTACAACTTTATAAAGCGAAGAAAAAGCATCGTGGTCAACTCATTCTTTATTTAGCTCGCATCCCGTTGACGCCGGCTTTGGTCGATGGAGCGGTGATCCTTGACCCGTCGAGCCCATTGGATGCACTATTGAGTAAGTTTAAAGTACGATTTGTCTGACGATTTAGAAATGAGTGTTAATAAATGAAAGCACCACTTGAATTCATCTCTAGGCGTGTAACAATTTTTAAATTTTCATTTTAGTCTCAATTCGTCAACAATTCCTCGAGCACCAGGCTCACGTTTTGACGGAAACATTTCGCGCTCAGTTGATTGATGAGGTGAAGCAAGAAACGGTAAGCGATTAAACCAATTTATTCAAGTTTTAGACGTCAAATTTGTTTAATGTTCAACTTTTAGAACAAAAGAAGCGAATTAATGGAGCGTGTCCGCACTTCGACTGCTTTTGTCGATAATCTTCTACAACAAGTAAGAATTTATCTGATACATGAAATGAAAATACTTTTTCAGGGAGTCGCCAATTTGCGTGCTCGTCTTCTTGAGTTGGACATGAGCGATGTGGAGACGCCGAGTGAATTGCTTAATCGGTGAGTGGGTATAATGAAGAAGTAACAGGGATTTAAAAAGAATAGAACAATAATAAACCACTGAATCTTACGTAATTCAAAATATTAGATTATCTAAGTACAAATTAACCAAGTTAAGTACTATCATATCAAGAAAATTTGTCATTCTAGATCAAAGCAAATCGTGCACAATCACAAAGAGGTCACACAGAAATGCTCGGCGCTTGAAGCAGAAGTGGCTGCGTTGGAAAGTCGTCTCAGGGCTCATGCCCCGTATGGGGATCGCTTGATTGAGAAGATTAACAGTAAGCTTTAACAAGGATTTAAAAAGACTAGAACAATAATAAAGGCACTGAGTCTATATAAAATCAAATTCTTTAGACACCGATCCGAATCTGTTAATCGATCCGATCAACCCGGATCCCTACATGGAGCTCATTCAAACGGCTTGCTTGGAGAGTGGATGTCAAATTGTGGTGAGTTTTATTATCAAATCATTGTCGACGAGATAAACTACTTGAATGCATAAATTGATAATCATTTACCATTGTTCTGCTTATTCAACTTTTATTTTTTAGCCAACTCGTCTGGAGAGTGAGGCCGAGGCGCACGCCCAAGAATCGATGACTTCACCTGGAGTTGCCGTCTCAGCTGCACGACGACCAAGACAACGCTCAAGGGCATCCGCATCAAAAAGGGCTGCCGCTGGAGCGAAGCCTGAAGAAACGAGTGAGGAGATGGAGCGTCAGATTCAGGAGATCGTGCAAAAAGCTCTTAAGGTTTGAAATTTGATGATGTTTACAATTTGACAAATGTCTGCTTTTTTCACTCTTTAAGTCTTTTAGGCGGTATTGAATTTAAAATCCGCGCCTTTGCCGATATTTATAGGTTTAATTGAAATTTACTACAGTTTTTCATGGCTTTGAAACTTGTAGTAAAGTTTATAAGTTGTTTAATATGCTTGCTATATTCATTTCTTTCAGGTGGACAGTGCCGCAAAGGAGAAAGAGCGCCGCGCTCGTGGAAACCCGGAGAAACGAGGAGGGAAAGGCGCGAATGCGAATGTGCAACAGGCAGCAATCTCTGGCATCTCGGCCGCCCCCTTTGCTCTTCTACAACAACCAGCCGTTGTGTGCGATCAACGAGGAATTCAGCTCGGTGGATCACCGAATTTCGCTATGCCACATGGTGGGTTTCTTTAAAATGCTAACATGATTTGGATGGGTGGCAGATTTTGGAGAAATTTCTGTAAAGTTGCGCAGTTGCTTATCTCGTAGCAATATGGTGAACTAAAGAGATTGAGGATCTCGATATTTAGTTAAAGATTCGAAATGCATTTTTCAGGCTGAATATTCTGAGCTAAGAAATTAAAATTTTACAATATTTTCCAGAAAATCCTTGGACTTTGCTGTTAAAAAAAGCATTGGAAAGTAAAAAGAGCACTGTGTGAACTTAAATTGAAATTTGTAAAATTTGAAATTCTACATAAATTTATTGTAGTGCTTTATTACATTGATTACTATGCACTAATCATGCTTTTTTTTTTCAGCTTCAAATCAGCCTCTTTTAAACAACGGTGATGGTTCGGCTTCTATGACAATTTCAACTGCAGAATGAACAAAAACTCAAGTTTGTGTGTGTGTGTGTGTGTTTTTTCATTGCTATTTTTGTAAATTTCACATTTTTTACAAAGTTCAGGGTTTAGCAGGCTTCCTCCTTTCATTTGACTTTCAAACGTTGCCAAAATTTCCGTTATTTTTGTTATTTCTCAGTGCCAATTTGCGATTGAGTGGCCAAATTTGTGTTGCCAAGCGTTTTTTCTTTGTCTCTGCTAACATTTTTATGTCTTTGTTGGTCTCACCTATGTTTTTGTAACTTCGAAAGTATTTCGGATTACTGTAACCGTTTGTCTTTAATACAAATTTTCACTCTAACCCCACAAATTTCCTATGATCTTTTGGAAATCGAGCATTTCTCTCACTTTGTAAACATACTTATGCTAAAATACTGTATTTTTATGTTTTATCTCTTTTTGATACTGCCAGGAATAGTCACGATTTCGGCCTTGCTCTATTAAGAGGCTAAAATTTGCATACAAAATTCAATAGATCGATTTTATCGTTAACTGTATATGCAAATTTTTGCCAGAAATGTTAATTTGAATATAAGCTTTAAAAGATTTTCAACTAAATACTCTCGATTGATAATGAAAAATAGCCAATTTCTCGTATTTCCCTCCAATTATCGACTTCCTTCGAAAATTTCCATTTATCTGTGTCATTCCCCAGGCCTCGCCTTTATCCAGATGTCAAAAATGATTTTTTTTTTTCCTCATTTTCAATCAAAATCAAATTCCCCCTTTCCCTGCCCGCTTATACTGCCTTTACGAGATGATCTTTCAAATATTTTTCAAGTTTTTTTTTGTAGGAATCAGTTTTGAGATGTTTTTGAGTTTTTTTTAACGTATCCATTCTATATTTTTACGATTTTTTTTAGAGGCATTTAAAAAATTTAAAATTTAAACCAATGTGCAACAAATAAAGATTTTGAAGAAGTTGGAGGAAATGGAAATTAATGGTTTTGGAGCCAATTTTGTCGATTTTCTTCTTGATGGTATTTGATTTTTGAAAATTTCAATTTTTTTGATTTATTAGAGATAATTTCAGAACCATCGAAATTAATGAGGAGAAAGAAATGGAGTTGAGCCTATCGAATGAATTGACAAGACCATTTCGGATACCGCGAAGAAAACAAGACTCAGCACAGGCGACAAAAGATGAAACGAGCACCAATGCGTGAGTTGAAGAGCGGAAAATTGGGGGCTTGGTCAAAACAGTGCCGTGTACAAACAGCGCCGACCAAAATAATGCTTTTGCGGTTAAGTTTATTTGTGTTTCTTATTTTCATTGAATGTAGAAAAAATTAGCTATCTGCTGAATGTTTTTGGAATCGTTTAGAACAAAGCTGAGATGAGAAAATGCCAAAAAATGAAAAAGGGCTTAAAAAGAGGTTAACTGAGCTTTTCTCGACACCAATTCTATTTTAAGTGATCCAAAAGTATGCAAAATGTAGATAATTTTATTCTGCATCCAATAAGAATAAGGAACACATAGAAACTTAACCGCGGATGGGGTACTTTTGTCGTGGCGCTGTTTTGGTCAGCTCCCAAGATCCCTCGCGCTGTTTGTACAGGATGCGTCAAAATTATGGAATGGATGTCTATTGATGAATTAAAGGAAGAAAATGAAGACAATACTCCGAGTGTTATATATAATTTTGAAAGCTCTTAATGAATACTACAAAATAGAATAGCTAAATCAAAAGAATTGTGCCAATCTTGCAAAAAAATTTAAGGACCTAAACGTGACACTCCTGAAAAAGAAGATCTTCTGTTTTAAACCTCAACTAGACCAGTTAGATTATACTGATTATATTTGCATTAAATAAAGGAATAATAACCTCACCAATTAGTACATACACTTAAGAAAAAGTTTTGATAGAAACTGAAAAAAACGTAAATATAGACGTAAATAAAACGTAAATATAAAACTAGTGTTTTTTGAGAGAAACATTCAAAAGCATGTTCACAAAACAGTTTTTAACAGATTAAACATACTTTTAACTTTCAATGATTTTATAAAAAAATGCTCAAAACGAATACTTTCAGAACAAAATACAGTTAAAAATCTCTATTTTTAAAAATTATCTTAATTCAGGAGTTCGCGATGTTCAGGTCCTTAAATTTGTCCAATATTGGCGCAATTTTTTTTGATTTAGCTATTGTATTTTGTAGTATTCATTAAGAGCTTTCAAATGAAATATAACACTCGGTGTATTGTCTTCATTTTCTTCTTTTAATCCATCAATAGACATCCGTCCCATAATCTTGACGGGGTTATATAGTATATCGCGATGTGTACAGGGTTATATCCATAACCCTGTACACGGCGCTGTTTTGATCAGCTCCTGAAAATTGACAGAAATATTCATTTTATAGAAAATTGATAGAAATATCCATTTTAGAGAAAATTGACATAGTTTTAGAGATAGTTTTTACAAGATGCTCTTGTGAAAATTTTCCATTTTCAAAGCCCACTTGCAACAGAAATTTTTGCGTTTAAAACTATTTCGGTGAATGTTCAACAAAGTGAATCCGAAATTTCGGATTCATTTTATTGAACGAATTTCATATGTTTCGTGTCTCATAAAGCTAATAATCTCTCACAAACACAGATAAATTCTGAACGAAATTTGGTGGTATAACGAGTTTTTAGCTCCCCCCTCACGGCGACGATCTCGCGACGATCGGTGAACGAATTCGATCAAGCAACGCCGCATCGCGGAGCACAAAAGAGGTTGTTTCTTTTTTTCTAAAACATTAGTACTGTTAGTCTCAGATATGGTTTTTTCAAAAAGCCATCGCTAGCCAGGCCAGGACCTTAAGTTTTGGTCTAAACAATTTTGAAATCCATACTAACGAGTCTTATTTATGACATTAATACTACCAGGTCTGGTATTAATCTAAGAACTAAAACTTCTCAGATTTAGAGTTGGTACTAACGGGTCTGTAGATACTAGACATGGGAGAATTCCAAGACGAACCCAATTCCACCTTCGTTTTCTCAGCCGTCTCTTGGCCGATTGTTCTGAAGTTTTGTTTAAAAATAGAAATTCACATTTTCTGTTGGTAGAAAAAATTTCAGAAAAGTTGGTCAAGAAATGGCCAAGAAAACCAAGGTGAAATTGGGTTCGGCTTGGAATTTTCCGCATGTCCACAAGATACTGATATCAGTAAATAGAAGATCAGTCTCGAGTACTAACATGAGCTATAGTACCCTTCTTCGTTATCACCGTATTCCTCTTTATGATCCTAGTCATACGGTAGTCTTTCCACGGTCGATCGATCGAATTGGCCCTTGGAATGTTACCGTACTCCGAGTATCTTAAAAAATTAAAAAAACAGGTGTAAATTCTAAAAGATGCCATTCACAATCCAACTACCGTAATCCAGAGGTCATTTTAGGGAAATGACTAGATTTCAGGGGTCACATACTGGCTTAGATTTGAAAAAAGTAGCTTTTCCTGGAGTATGGTAGCTTTTTCCGGAGTACGGTAGTTTTTTCCGGGTACGGTGGCTTTTCCCTAAGCACTTTTTAGGAAACGAAATTAGTATCAAAGTACAATACCTTTTTTTCAGACACGATCTTTCGCCGACGAAAACACCTCGTCCGGAGAAATCGTACAATCATGTGAAACACCACGAACAGCAATCATCGAGACAAAAAAGAGAGCAGAAACCTATGCGAGCACAACAAAAACAACAACAACAACAACAACAACAACAACAACCCGTTCAACAACCACAAATCGTGCAAAATCAACAACCGACGACGAGTCACGATGAGCTTTTTGATCGGATATTTGGCACAAAAGGTAACACATTTGGCATTTTTACGTACTTTTTGTTCACATGTAAATGCACCTTTTCTGGCGCACTGGATTCTCCATTTTCTCGAGACAATGATCGTTGATTTAAGGAAATTTTTAAAAAATGAAGATTTCATCGCGCCAAAAGGGGTGCGTTTACAGGTGAGCATAGTACTATATGAGTGCTAGTTTTCTTCTTTCTTTTTTCCTTTCTTCTTCTTTTTTGTCTTTGCTTCTTTCACTTGGCAAGTTAAGGTACCGGATAGTTCAGTGGTTGAAGCAATTGCCAAGCAAAATATCGAGGGTTCAATCCCCTCTCCGGAAAACTAACTTTTCTTGCCAATTCCTTCACTTTTTTTATTATAGTTAACAATTTACTGTATAAATAGTAATGTATAAAAAAAAAGCTACAATACAGTAACTTGCAGATCCTCAACCGCCAACCCCTTCCGTAGCCGCTCCTGCTGTTGAAACGAGTGCCGGGGAAATGAAATTGACGAGACAACGATTGATGGAACATCGATATGATGATAGAGCGTGCAGAGATGTAAGTTAAGAATAATAAGTGACTGGTTGAGTCAAACTTTAGCTTAAATCAATAGTGGAAGACATTTTAGTGTTACAAATTATGGTAGCTGAGGCTTTCTTTAGTCTTTGACAATTTAAAGGCTATAACTTCTTTTAGTATTGATATTTTTGGGTGTGTCTACACTATGTTACGTTACAGTTGTTGGAAATGAATCTATCGAATGAATGATTCGACAAAAAACTTTCAAATTTCAGTTTCTTCGTCGCGACGGCCTAATGGAAAGGATTTTGGGGCACAAAATGTTGACAGGAAAAGTGGACAGCCATGAGAGAATGGGATATGTCAGAATGGAGGCCGGAGATCGACCCGAAAGAGCTGTGAGTTTAAAAAAGAAACGGTACAATCATGTTATTCCTTATTTCCCTGCAATTGTCTGTGCGCATGCATCAAGCCTGCTATCAATCTTGACGAGAGTAGGATTCGAACTTGAGGGCAAAAAATGTAATAGGTTTCGTAGTCTAATAGATTATCCGCCAAAGGAACTATTAGGGAAGCGTGTGACGGCCTCATAAGGAGTTTGAAATTTAAGCTGAGTTTCTATGCCCTAAATATCTCGCGTTTGCGAAGCGTTTTTACAAAAAACAAAAAACGGATTCAA